TAAAATTTGATAATATTTTACAAAGTTTGCTAGATATATATTAAATATTTTATGGTGCTTTGGTGTTTATCGAAAACATTTCTTTTTTTTTTTTTTAATAACATTTTATCATTGTAAAAAAAATATTTATAATAATTTTTGACACGTACTTTTTTGGTGTAAAAGTTTTATTTTAATGGTGTTTGAGACGATAGATATTTTAGATGTTTTAATTCGTGAAAAACTCGTTTTTTTAGTTAGAAATCGGTTAATTGTCAATATATGTGCTATGTAAGCCGGAAAAACGTTGTATATCATTAGCATAGTTTCCTTATTAGCATAGTTTCCTTAATGTTTCTACGATACATAATGGCAGTAATGAAATTCCACGTGTATCAGAATACATTGATATATGTATAAAGAGTTTCTTTATTGTTGTTTAGTCACTTCATACTTGCAGATCAAGAGACACATTGTTTGAAGACACTCTATTACAGATAGTATAAATAAAAAATTGCAGATCCTGCAAGTATATAAGAAGTAGAATATATTTATAAAATATTATTTTTCGTGAAACTTCTATTGTCACATAAGTAAAATATAAACTAATTATGATCAGTGAAAATGAATATGAATTGTGTGCCGATATCGATCCTGAAGAAATTGTTATTTCTGGCATTTCCGGTAGCTTCCCAGGTTCGGACAATATGAAACAGTTGCAAGAACATCTATTTAACAACGTCGATCTTATTACGGACAAGCATATCCGATGGAATTCAGGTAAATTAATGTTTATTCTTATAGGAATATATGAAAAGCAGTACCACACTGGTATGATATTGTACCATCTGTTACACAGAACATCCGGACTTACCAAAACGTCTAGGAATAATTAATAATTTAAATAAGTTCGATGCGGAATTTTTTGATATATGTGATAGTTACGCGAACACACTTGACCCATCACTGAGGATATTATTGGAGCGTACTTACGAGGCAATTGTCGACGCAGGAATCAATCCAAAGCAATTACAAGGAAGAAATATTGCTACGATCGTAGCAACATCTTCCATTGAGTCACAAAGTGAATTTGTGTACCGGGACATTCAGGTTGAAAATATTATTTACAACGATTGATTGAAGTAATAGTTAATGCACATTTATATTCATACTTATCCGACTATAATAATATTGTAAATTATTTTACAATTAGATGAATGGTATGAATTTTCTTGGCTGTCAGAAAACTACATTGCCAAATTTAGTTTCCTATTGGCTAAATCTGAAAGGACCATCTTATGTAGTCGATACGGCCTGCAGCGGTAGTCTTCATGCTGTAGCACTTGCTTATTACAACATCATATCTGGTACATGCGAAGAAGCTATTGTTGCTGCTGCAAATTTGTGTGCGCACCCGATAACGACTATACAATTTTTTCGTCTCGGTAGTATCATTAAAAAAATTATTTATTTTTCAGTATACATTTATAGAAAAAGTGCGCAGATATATTCTAAAATTGCATTTTCTTATACATATATGTTTGATTGTTTAGGTGTTTTGTCACCAACTGGTTACTGTAGACCTTTTGATGTAAACGCAAACGGTTATTGCCGTAGTGAGACTGTATCGGTAATATATCTTCAAAAAGCAAAAAACGCAAAAAGAATTTATGCTTTATGCAAACATGTTAAAATTAACAGTGATGGATATAAAGACGAAGGAATAACATTTCCATCGGAAAATGCGCAAACACGTTTATTAACCGAGTTTTATGAAGAGTGCGGAATATCGCCAACTGATGTGGACTACATTGAAGCGCACGGTACCGGTACAAAAGTTGGTGATCCAGTTGAAATCAAAGCTATCAGTAATGTTTTTTGTAAAGAAAGAAAGACTCCGTTGTTGATTGGCTCCGTAAAATCCAATGTTGGTCATGCGGAACCAGCCAGTGGGATGAATCAGATCGCTAAGGTAAAAAAACAAAGTTATTTTATCTACAATATAAGAAAAAGTTTTGTAAGAAAAGAAAAAGGAAAAAATAAGAAATTAATTTAAACCACAACAAATCAATAAACAAATCAATTTTATACAAAATTTTGAGACTTATATATATTATGTATACTTTTGAAGGCAATAATCGCACTGGAAACTGGCTTTATTCCGCCAATGATTTTTACATCACCACGAGATGACATAGCATCTCTTAAAAATGGAACTATACACATTGTGACGGAACCAACGCATCTTACAAACGGTTACATTGCCATAAACTCGTTCGGATTTGGAGGAGCCAATGGCCATTTGTTAATAAAATGGAATCCCAAAAGAAAGATCAATAATGGTGCACCGAATGATGACTTGCCAAGACTTGTTACTGTATCTGGACGCACTGAAGAATCAGTGAAGTCGTTTTTAAAGGACGTAAGTGCGTTAATGACACGATTATGACAAATGAAACAGAAGAGCAACATACGTTAAGAGCAACATACGTTACTCTCGTATTAAAATCTATGCTAAATATTTGTTTGAAAAATTGCTTATAGATCGCAAATTATCCGTTAGACGTGGAGTATATTCGTCTGCTACATGACATTTATGCTTACAATATAGAAGATCATCCGTGGAGAGGATATATTGTACTAGATAAGACCCAACAACATTCCATAAAAGAAATTCAGGCTTATAAAAACGATAAAAGACCTATTTGGTTTATATTTTCTGGAGTGGACTCGCAATCGTTTAAACTAGGTGTGCAACTTGTGCGACTTTGCTTAATTAACGTAATAATATAAATTCTGACGTTGCAAACTTTGATACGTAGGTCGACATTTGCTACAATTTCCCGTCTTTGCACGTAGTATGAAAATATGCAATAATGTTTTAAAACAATACAACATAAGCGTAACAGACATTATGACGACGATAGACGAAAAGATGGATAAATTAAGTCCTGTGAACACATTGATAGGTATCGTTGCATTTCAGGTAAATTATTATTATTTCGCTTAGTAGCTGTGTACTACGATCATAGTTATCATATCTTTTTATATACGAGGTCTGTTCAAAAAGTATCGCGAATTTTGTGTTTTTTAAAAAATTATTTATTTATTCATGAATATCTATTTTGTCCCCTTCAAAGTAATTCCCATCAGATATTATACACTTGTGCCAACGTTTTTTCCAATCCTCGAAGCACTTCAAAAATTCATTTTTTGTGATCTTGTTCAGCTCCTTCTTCGATGCCGTCTTTATCTCCTCAATCGTACCATAGCGTCGTCCTTTCAATAAGAAAAAGTCACAAGGGGCCAGATCTGGGGAATACGGTGGCTGCGGCATCATTAGTGTGTTATGTTTGGCCAAAAATTCGCGCGCACAAGCAACGATGTGTGAGCAGGGGCGTTATCATGGTGCAAAAGCCAATTTTTGTTCCTCCATAAATCCGGGCGTTTCTGGCGGATTGCTTCGCGCAAATTGCGCATAACTTGCACGTAATATTTCTTATTGACCGTTCTACCCGGTGGCAAGAACTCATAAATGCACCACACCTCTGCAATCGAAGAAAACTGTCAGCAAAACCGTCGCGATACTTTTTGAACAGACCTCGTATATATATATATATATATATAGAAATCTATTTTTCCGTTCGATATCATTCTTTGAACGTCTTTGTACAAATTTCTCAAAGAAGAACATATTTGGGTTTCTGGTTTATCTGGACCCTTATAAATACCCACAACAATTACTGATGCATGTAGTATATTACTAATGCAACATTGAATAACACATCGTTCAATAAGTCCCGAGACTAACCCAGAGATAGTGCTAGTAATACCAAGCTGGCCACGTTTCTCTAAAGTGCGAACCTTCACATGAAACGTGTAAAAATTTCATGTCGATCGGACCACAAACAGCTGAGTTACTGAGGTTAGAGCAAAGTCACTTTGTAATTTGTTTGAAAAATGGAAAAAAGCGAGTTTCGCGTGCTGATAAAGCATTGTTTTTTAATGGGTAAAAACACCGTAGAAGCCCAGCAATGGCTTGAGAAATGTTATCCGGACTCCTTTCCATCCAAATCAACGATTTGTCGTTGGTATGCTGAGTTTAAACATGGTCGTACGGACACAAACGATGCGGAACGTTCGGGTAGGCCATTGGAAGCCGTTGTACCGGAAAATGTGAGTGAAGTGTTAAAAATCGTAATGAAAAATCGCAAAGTGAAGGTCCGTGAGATTGCAGAAATGACACAAATATCATCTGGAAGCGTATTTACAATCCTTCATAAAAAATTAAGCATGAAAAAGGTTTTTTCCAAGTGGGTGCCGCGATTGCTTTCAATGGAACAAAAACAGCAACGAATCGACGATTCAGAGAGCTGTTTATCGCTATTTACTCGCAATAAAAAGGATTTCCTGCGTCGATACGTGACCATGGATGAAACATGGATACATCATTTCACTCCGGAGTCGAATCGGCAATCTTCTGAGTGGCGCGCGGCTGGCGAAAGCCGCCCAAAGCGTCCAAAAACGCAGCAGTCTGCTGGCAAAGTCATGGCGTCTGTTTTCTGGGATACACATGGCGTGATTTTCATTGACTACCTGGGAAAAGGTAAATCGATCAACAGTAATTATTATATTGACTTGTTGGTACGTTTGAAGGAGAAGATCGCAGCAAAACGACCGCACATGAAGAAGAAAAAAATCCTTTTCCACTAAGACAATGCACCATGCCACAAGTCCATGAAAACAATGGCAAAATTCAACGAGTTGGGCTTTGATTTGCTTCCCCACCCTCCGTATTCGCCAGATTTAGCCTCCAGCGACTACTGGCTCTTTGCTGATGTCAAAAAAATGCTCCGGGAACAAAAATTTGACTCGGATGAGGAGGTCATTGCCGAAACTGAAGCCTATTTTGAAGCAAAGGATAAATCCTTCTATAAACATGGTATAGAAATGTTGGAGAGGCGTTGGAAAGATTGTATCACTCTAAAAGGAGATTATATTGATGATTAAAAATAATTTTTGAAAAAAAATGTTGTTTTCGTTGTTAGTCTCGGGACTTATTGAACGATGTGTTAAGTCATATATGAATAATGCAGCTCTAAACTGCAATCATCAGTACTAACATCTAAAGTTACTTCATTATTGATGTACATGACATAGTAGATAACTAAGTAACAATAACACGTTCTAAATCAAAATGGATATATTTTTCTAGAAGTACAAAAAATATCAAGACACTGCGGTTCGAATTAAGAACGGTTCGAATATCTTTAGGCAACAAAGAAAAACACTTATGTTTTCTAAGAAGAGATAGTATTACGTTTCCTTGCACATGTGTAAGATTATTATCTATAAAGCAAGATGCTAATTGCTTCCGAAAAACTTGTTTATCTGCAGTATTGCTAAATGAGGAGACATTATTATCATCACTGTTATCACAGTCATCAGTCTCATGTTCATTATTAACTGTGTTCATTATTAACTCACTATTATTGCAGAGACTGACATCAGACACACACACAAAATAAATTGTCATTCTTCTCTTGAATACTTATCATATTTGAACTGCGAATCTCGTTATTAACAATCGTGGCAGAAATACTGTTTTGAAAAGCAATGCGTCGGCTATACACAGTTTGTCCGGAAAGTTCCCGGACT